GGTACTGTAAATATGTAAATATATAATGTAAATATGTGATATTGCAAATATTTACAATTGTTTGTAAATCGTTGCAAAGGAAATGTACATTTTGTTAAAATGTGTGAAGATGTTGTGGTATATATTTTTGTTGTGGTATTTATCTATAGTATTTTATCTTATCACATTTCAGGGGGGCTACACCTCATTGATTACAATATTTATATGTTTGTGTATTTGGAGTGAGTCATGTGACCTGTCATTACTGTTTATATATACAGGTGTGTAGCCTACTTCACTTAATGTCTGATGAAGGGTAGTGACCCGAAACGTCACATTGTGTGGTGAGAATTAAAATCTCTTGGGAGCAAAAGCTGTGCAGCGTCATCTCAATTTTTTTCATTGATCCATTTTCAACTTTTTGCACGCAACTTAGAATTGGATGTGCGTGTCAATCTCACTCTTGATTTTATATTCATCTCATATACTATAGGTTTCATTTTTACTCAGAAAGTTATGTTGTTACTCACAAGATCAAAATATAATTTTAAAACATAATTAAACGGATTTATCACCAGTTAACTTTTTGGAAGAAAAATCGTTTCTGCAGCTCTTTCACTGGTATCCCTTCATATCAGGTTGCAGCTAGCATTAAAGTAATTGTCTGCAGTTTGTCAGAAAGAGAGAGAGAGGTACTTGATTTGAAAAAAACAATGCAAGCTCCCTCCCCCTTCCTTTCTGATTGGTCTACACCTACGTTTCCGTAACACATTTAAATGTTGATCACAGAACATATTATACATTAACATTATTAATACACATGCACGGAGGTTTTCAGAATTATTTGTTAACGTCATCTGCAGAGGATCTGATTATGGATATAGGTTCAGTATATAAATGGGTAACTCAGCGCAGATGTTCAGAATTCTTTGTTCCGTTTTCATGTAGTTCCAGAGCCGAATGGAGGCTTGATTCGGAGGCTCCGCAAACAACTGAGCATGCGCGCAGCTGCGAGCTTCAGCGCCGATGATTGACAGCCCTTGGCATCACTTGATTGGTTAACGTGGACAGCATCGTGGATTTCTAGCTATAGCTAAGAGAAGGGAAGGCGGGGCTTACCTGTAATATTAGAATTAATGAAATGACTTATTTTATATGAACATTTAAGGCCAGGAGGTCAATTTAATACAATTCTTAAAATTTGTAATTCATTTAGAGTTCCAGACTATCACTTTAAAACCAAAGTATCTGGCTTGGTATTGGACTTGAAAAAGCTGGATCGCCTTTTCCCTAGATAGAAGCAAATGGTGTTTTCTTTAACCACTTTAACCTCTTCCACAAAGCATCCAACCCTCTCTCTCTTCTGCAGCACTGCAATCCCTGGGACTTTTTTTTTATTTTTTATCCTCTCTATTTGTCCCTCTTCACTTACCTCTTTCCCCAAACATCAACTAAACATCTCAAAATGAACCTTTCCACTGAAGGGAACCGGATTGGCTGTGCGCTAAATCTCTCCCCTGATTAAAAACTGTGCGGTGGCCATTAGCTTAATCAAATTATAGCAATCCGACACGCACCATTTCGGCCCATGGTACAATTACCAACACACTCACTCTCTCTGGGGTCTCGGCCGCCGAAGCGTGGATTTTATTTATCACACTGGTGCCTCTGGTCTCTCTGGTCTCTTTCTGGACTCTTTCTCTTCTCTCTGGTCTCTCTCTCTGGTGTCTTTCTGGTATCTCTCTAGTCTTTTTATCATCTCTCTGGGCTCTTTCTAATTTCTCTGGTCTCTCTCTCACGTTTCTCTCTGGTCTGTCTCGTTTCTCTCTGGTCTCTCTCGTTGCTCTCTGGTCTCTATCTGTTCTCTTTCTTGTCTCTCTGTGCTCTTTTTGGTTTCTCTTTCTGGCCTCTCACGTTTTTCTCTAGTCTCTCGAGTCTCTCTGGTCGCAATCTAAAGCGGATCATTTTTGTGCCTCTAGTCTCTCTCTGGTCTCTCTGGTCTCTCTCTATCGGTTTGGTGCATGAGAAGTAGAGGAAGTGACTGTGACGAAAGTGTATAAGCCAAACCAGCGGTGCGAGAGAAAGCAGCACGAGGAAACATGCCGCACTTTTGACGTTCTGAAGAGCTGTGAAATGTCAGTGCACAGGAAGGCAAGGTGGTGGAGCGAGGAGGATGTGTTGGAATAAAACTACGAACATATAAAAAAGTCTTACATCAAAGCTGCGGTGGCTAATTTTATGTTTTTTCTCTGGCTCTCTCTCTGGAGTCCCACTGTTCTCTCTCTCTGGCCTCTCCCATGTGTACAACCACACTATACAACACAGCATAACCCCTAGTATAACCAAATCTCTTTCTGGTCTCTCTATGGCCTCTCCCTGGTCTTCCTTTAATCCATGGACACCAGCTATACCCTCTTTAAGTACTGTACGTATGCAGAGGATGGAGTTTGATGACACCTTTACGTATAAAAAGGTCTCATCAGAAGCCCAAGCTACAGGTCACGCTTAAAAAAAAGCAGCCACAGTCTCAGGTTGAATCTTTTTTTTATTTTTGTAGAAGTTTTAGCGAAAACAGGTCGGATTTATAGGGGCTCCTTAAGCTCATTATTTATGGCGTGCTTCTCATGCGTTGCATGTTAAGTCTAACAACATTATGTACAGCTAATATACTGTATATGGTCTATCTCTACTCCATCTCTCTCTAGTCTTTCTCTCTGGTCTATCTGGTCTCTCTCTGGTCGCTCTCGTCTCTCTCTATCTCTGGTTGCTCTTTGTGGTCTCTCTGGTCTCTCTCTCTCTCTCATCTCTCTGTGGTCTCTCTCTCTCAGGTCTTTCTCTAGTTTCTCCCTGGTCTCTCAATCTAGTCTAGCTCTCTGGTCTCTCTAGTCTCTCTGGTTGTTCCCTGGTCTATCTCTTGTCTAGCTCTCTGATCTCTCTCTTTCTGGTCCCTCTCTCTCTAGTCTCTCTCTGGTCCTTCTGGTTTCTTTCTGGTCTCTCTCTAGTCTTTCGCTGGTTGCTCTTTCTGGTCTCTCTCTGGTCTCTCTCTTAAGTGTCTCTCTAGTCTCTCTCTGGTTGCTCTCTATGGTCTCTTTCTACAGTCTCTTTCTGGTGTCTCTCTCTCTGGTCAAAGGGGTAGAGTGATGATGTGAGTGTCTGTTTGTGTGCACAGGGCCTCTGCAGAGTCCAGGGCCGTCTCACATCCTGCAGGTAACTTTCTCACAGCTGATTGGACAGATCCACAGAATCATTTGAATAATGAGGAGGAGGGTGTGGGGTCAGGGAGGGTCTTGGGCCTGTGTCTGTGTGAAAAGGCATCGATGTGTCTTGCTGTTGGTGTTATTGTGTGTGTGTGTGGGTGTGGGTGTATGTGTGTACGAATGTGGGTGTGTGTGTGTATCTATAGCTCCAATATGATGAGACTAATAGATTGTTGTGTTGTTTTTCCAGGTCGCAGACGGCTCCAGTTTCCCATTGAAATGAATGAACACTGTTTGTTTTATGTTGTGCATCCTATTGCATTGTATACAGTATTTGAGCTTGTGTGTGTGTGTGTGTGTGTGTGTGTGTGTGTGTGTGTGTGTGTGTGTGTCTGACTGTGTGAGTGAGTGTGACTGTGTTGTGTTACTGTGTGTGTGTCTGGGCTATATGGATAAGTATGTGTGTGCATGTAAGACTGTGCGTGTGTCTGAGTGTTTGTGTGTGTGTACAGGTGTGTGTGTCTACATGTGTGTCTGTACGTCTGGTCTACGTGAATAAATATGTGTGTATGTGTATGACTGTGTTTGTGTGTGTGTGTGTGTATGTCTGTCTGGGTATGTGTGTGCGTGTGTATGTCTGTCTGGGTATGTGTGTGTTTGTGTGTGACTGTGTGTGTATGTGGGTGTTCGTGTACATGTGTGTGACTGTGTGTGTATGAAACAGTCTCGTACTTGATTGTGTTGTAGATTTTCAGCTGATCTTCTACATTGATACTACAGAAATGTCACCAAGATAAAACCAGGAGTGTGTAGCAGCTGGACTGTGGGTTGTGTGTTTGAATCCTGTGTGATTGTATCTTTGTGTTATTCCTGAGAAACACTTGGATTGTTGTGTTTCATGAATCCATCTTTATGGAACTTTTTCAATAAATCACTCTTGGTAAAATTGCTTTTGCTTTAGATGCTTTGTTTTTCTGTTGACCACAAGAGGAAGACAGTGTGTGTGTGTGTGTGTGTGTGGGTGAGTTAGTGTGGGTGTGTGTGTCTATGTATGTATATGCGTGTGTGTGTCTATATATGTGTGTGTATGTGCGTGTGTGTGCATATGTGTGTGTATGTGTGTGTATATGTGCGTGTGTGTACATATGTGTGTGTGTGACTGTGTATGACTGCGTGTGTATTTTGTGTGTTTGTGTTACCGTGTGTATGACTGCGTGTGTATTTTGTGTGTGTGTGTGGTGTGTGTATTTAGTGTGTGTGATTTTTCTTCATGTCTTTATTATAGTGAATGTTTTACACAGTTTACTTTTTCTTTCTTTCGAAACAGCAAAACTCGTGTGTTTTCTGGAATTTGACGTCAAACTGGGGGCGGTCTGTCTCTGTGAGCAATGATTTCATTGGTCAAGCCTCAAACAACAGAAAGATATTTATTGGATGATTAGAACAATGAAAAAAACAGATTGATTTCACTGATTTCACTGATTTCACATAAAATCAAATCTAAAATAAAGAAATCTGTCGGAAGGAAGTGAACGAAGGATCCAAAAAAAAAAGTCCAGGTCTCTGGTCTCTCTCTCCGGTCTCTCTCTGGTCTCTCTCTCTCTCTCTCTGGTCTGTCTGGTTTTGTAAAGTCTTATGAGTTAACTCCTGTTGTGATTTCAGGCCATACAAGAATACATTGAATTGAAATTAATGTAATTGAATTTAATGCTTTACTGATAAACTTGCCTTTTATGGCAGAAACAATTGCAGAAAATCACTGACACATGACCGGAAAAACAAAATCCTCCCCTTCACACCATGACTAGAGATCATTGGGGGCCATCATTTGGGCCATGTCTTAGTAGAGCCTTTATGGTTAAAGCCCTTGAGCATGAACCGAGCCTGGAGTCCTGGGACCACGACGGTACCGGTGCAATACTCGTAAGTCTCGGCCTCTCCAGATCGGGATCCTCTTCCAAACTTGGTCACGTACTGCCACTGGTCAGCCATGTATTGACGGTGTTCATCCCATCTCGACCTGTAGAGTCCAACCCACGCCTGAGCAAAGTTGGTCTTCCAGTCGTCACAGTTCTCGATGTAGAGGCGAAAACAGCTGTAGCCGTTTCTGACAAAGAGCTGGAGTCGGGCGTAGTTCGTGACTCGAACCGGGTCTGGATTCAGGAATTCTGGACCTCTGCAGATCTCGTCCAACACGGCAAACCAACCAAAACCGGATTTGAATTTCTGCAGCCTGACCTGAAGCCCCTCGTCCAACCCCTTCCAGGTTTGCTCGCTGCCCTTGCTCGTTGTTATTGGTTGAATTACGCGCGGGGTTTGGTCCTTATCGTTTTCGAAGACCAGACGGCTGCACCCTGCTTGATGACGTCTCGAGGAACATTCTCCCAACGAATTGTGACGTACCCTCCGTCTGCTGAGACCGCTTCAACGTAAACGTCTTGCAACTCACACATTCTCCACCCGTAAATCGGTTCACTACTTCCATAACTGCGCTTCGTCCTCCTATTGAAGAGGAAGACGACCAGCCTTATCAGCAGCCCCAGTGAGGCCTTGTATCTCGTCCACTGGTTTACCACGTTGTTTAGCTGGTTGTTGTTGATGTTTTGGTCGTAGCGGTCCCTAAGCGCCTTGAGTCCCTTGAGGTCCATGCCGAAATGGAACTCGTGTAGGTCCATCAGGAGCTGGGGGCTGATTTCAAAGGTGTGTTTTTTATCGTACGCAGGGCCATGCTGGTAGAGAGGAAAATGTTGGCTGAGATACACTTTCAGGATACGGTTATTATTGTCCAAGCAAACAATAAGTCTCCCTTTGTTGTCCATGCGAATGTGACCAATTGGATCAGTGAAATACGGAGGACATTGCCTGCTTCCACTGCACTGCTTGTATGTGACGCTGCCTAGACTGTAAAACCGACATCCTCTAGGGGCAGGGTCTAATAATTCCTCTTTGTTCCCGTAGTAATGAGACCCAAAGTCTGCAGTTGGATCGAAAGACGGAAGTGGACGGATTTTGTTGTTGCTGTCGACGTAGACTTTGCTGGCGAACAGGTGGAGCAGGAGGAGGCTGTGCACACGGAGGTCCGGCAGCGAGGCGTACACACGTCTCAGATCCACTGTGGAGTTGAGAGCGAGATAACTCTGACAGCCCACTGCTGCCAGAGCGAGCAGGCAGCAGACCAGGAGCACGCTGCAGGTCTTCATGGTTCTGTGGAGAAGGGAACATTATAGATACACACAAAGGTATTTGGTCATCACGAGCAGAGCAGTGATGGTTTATGTCTGTCTTCTGTGTATTTTCAATGTAGCAGCTGTGAGTCCAAGATATGAAGATAATTTTGTGTTTTTACTATCAACACTTCCTATTGCTTTTGAACTGTATAAACCATTACAAAAAACATATTCGGTG